TTCCCTCGCGCCAGTGATCGTTAAATTGCGATCGGAGACTTCCCGTCGTTTGTTCTCGCGCCAGTGACGAGCTATTTCGGAAAACAGAGCCGGCTTCGAATTTACGATTTTCTCGTGGCCGCATTGTTCGTCGGAAGATCTCGGTGGGGGGAAGAGGTGAACGCACCTCATAGACTTACGTAGAATTTCAGTTAAGGGGGGAGGGCAAAAATTTACCTTCATACCAAACTTATTAAAATGTATATATCCATGTTAAAGCCAGTTTCAAAGACTTTAGCGAACTCTCTAATATTTCTTCTTTCAGCTTCTTTCTTTTCGCGAGCACCGTTTTTCTGTGTATACACTTGTTGTTAGTATTACGTAGTAAGTAGTTTATTGACGTGATTTTGATCGACATTATGATCGCAACCAGGTTTACACCCTTCGTAGTGTATTCTAAAAGATGCTTCAATGATGCTCGTTGTGCAAGTAAGGCTAAGGAAATATACATGTTTTACTGCTGGGAAGAAAGTTTCGACTTCTCTTAACACCTCTTAACACCTAACTGAGAAAAAAAATATAGTAATGTTAACAAAAAAAAAAGAGATCATTCACAAGTGCCAATTATCATTGAATTATTTTGTTAAAATAGCGAAATATAATATTGTTAGATGATATTGTAAATTTTTTTATTTAACAGTACAATTTTATTTGGGTACGTTTTGTAAGTAAACAATAGTAATGTTAACAAAAAAAAAAGAGACTATTCACAAGTGCCAATTATTATCATTGAATTATTTTGTTAAAATAGCGAAATATAATATTGTTAGATGATATTGTAAATTTTTTTATTTAACAGTACAATTTTATTTGGGTACGTTTTGTAAGTAAACAATAGTAATGTTAACAAAAAAAAAAGAGACTATTCACAAGTGCCAATTATTATCATTGAATTATTTTGTTAAAATAGCGAAATATAATATTGTTAGATGATATTGTAAATTTTTTTATTTAACAGTACAATTTTATTTGGATACGTTTTGTAAGTAACAATGTAAAATTTGGTTGCCATTACAAAATAATAAGTATTCTTTTAGTAATTTCGACAAAATAATCTATTATGGCGAAGAGCATTTCGTGGAGCTGTCAGAGATAGCGTGTCTTCTTATAACAAAAATTCGACTACTTATATAAAGCAAGTTATGATTAGACTAATTTCGTCATTCGTGCACTTTTCGCCACACCGTGGCCAATCATGGTAATAATCATTTTTTCAGAGCGATTTTAGTAATCAATTGATTTAAATCTATATACCTTTGTTAAACTAGGGAAGTTCAAAAACATAATTTCACATTGTAGAAAGTGAAAGATATATATTATGTGATTGTTTTGTTCCGGTAACAAAATGTTTTATTTCTAAGTATAAAAAAATCTATGACTATCGTACAAAACAGTTTTGTATCATTAAATCGCTGTTTTAGAGGAGCTATTAAAGAATCTAAGTAGGGATTATCATTGACTTTTTCCTTAGTTCCTTGTACCAATTCGCAATGATGTATTTTGTAGCTTAAAACATCATAAAATTGGAGACATTATCTTTAGTAAAAAAAGGATACGTCCTTTGTTCTATCACACGTTTACTTTGCATTCCATTCGTATCGTGCTATTCGGAAGGCTCCTGTGATTGTCAAAAGTCGCAAAGAATAGCATCTCGTAAAAAGAAATTCCCTTCACTTTCTTCTTTCATTCTTTCGACTGTGCGGAGGCAATAAACGATAATTTCAGAAGATTACTTTAAGAACGAAAGCGGTCGTGCAGAGAACCTTTCACTAAGACCATCGATGGATGATCGAAGATGAACGAGGAGAAATTCTTGGAATCTAATTTGAGAATTCTAGGACTGGGAAGAGAAGGACGCGGCTATTATTCTTCTTCGCGAAAGAGATGGATCACGTTGTCGCAAAAATGATAAAGATCGCGTTGTGTCGCTTTGATTCTTTCAAGAGTCAAATGTTTATTGCGAGTCGATTATAATTGATTCATATCATAAATGGTCCTGGCTGAGATATTTTTCGCAAAAATTATTTACAGATTTTTAAGATGCTTATTAGCATTAAAATGGATGATCGATCTAACTTGGGATATTAATTTTTTACTTCATTTTGCAATTGTGTTTCAAATTCGAAACAAACCGTATCATTTATGCAATTTATGAAACTGCAATATATTTGCCAAAATTTACATCTAGTATTATTAAGCACTAAGAACCGAAAACAGGATTATTTCTATCAATTGATAAATGGATTATGTCATGTTTTTAGGGTGGATTTGCGAGGGTTTACCTAATGACCGATGTCAGTAATGGGAATCAGTACGCGTGTAAGATTATTCCGAAGAATCGAATGCAGAGGATCCATATGCAGAAGGTGCGTATATTTGTTCAGTGAAAAGCGCGCATTTATATTTATTTCGCTGAATAACACGTGTTTTTTTTTTTTTACGCTATTCGTAGATCGCGCGTGAGATCATGATTCACAAAGAGCTGAATCACGTAAACGTCGTCCAGATGCATCATTATTTCGAGGACAATCTCAACGTGTACATGCTCCTAGAAGCCTGCCCACGAAAGGTATCGTACGTTTTCCACTTGCCTTACCAGTTTATCGTTTCCTATCGCGCGTACGAGAGAAACATTTCGCAACTCTTTCCACATTTATGACCGAGAATACATCTATGCCGGGGAAAACTCGACGATCGACACTCGATCGTTGTCTCGTAAATTATTTAAACTGCCAACAGATATTGACAACTGGAGCATCGATAAAGAGTGCTGTTTCCCTTACTTTATCCTTCGTCCTGTACTTGGGCGTCTTTAAAATCCTTGTTTGCTGTTTCTCCTCTCGTAAAATTGTTTTCCAGGTTCTAGTCTATTTCTATTGCGCCATGAAATATCTGCCCGACTTAAATCGACGTGTCGAAGTCGTTCTGCACGCCGTAGCCGAGAAACAATTATGGATATCCATCGTACCTGTCTGCGAACGGCCCTTGATCAGCAACAGCCGCGTATATTTTCATCTCGCTGGAAAGAGAGCGGCACTTGCACTCTTCATGGCTGATCTGCCCGACCTGTTTGTACCGTTAGGATGCGACGAAGCATCCACTAATCGTTTGATTATCCTCGCTCTCTCGTTCAATTGCCTTCACGAACGCGAATTTCATCTTAGTTCGCTGCTGGATCGCGAAAGGATCATCTCTTGATTGACGATTTAAGTGTGATTAAAAGTCTCTATTAGAAATTCCTTAAGGAGGTTCGATAGACATACTCGTATATAGCACATATTTAATACTTGTACAAACAAATTTTATATATATATATATATGAAAAGTAGTGTTTACAATATTCTATTTTTTACTGTGCAACACATTTTTACTTAATTTATTTGTTATTATTTTTATTGTAATAAATTAAAATTAAAAAAATCAAAGTATTTTTGAATATGTCCTTTATTTAAAATGATTTGTGTGCAAAGTTTTATTACAATTTACTATCAATTAAAATTTAGATAACTGGACAACTAACTTCTACCTCGCAATGTAACTTTATATAAGTTATTTTGAATATTAAAGTACTTACATAAAAAATTGAGATTTTTTCTTATTATTCTAACATATTTTTATACATTTCTATTAGAGCATAAATTGAGAAAATACTACTTAATAAATACTTAATTACTTTAATAAAAAAATATTTCTTATTAAAGTAACTTTTAATCCAGATGGTAAATCATCATTAAAAAATAAAAAAAAATTTGTTGTACTATTTTTAAATTAGGTCTAGAAAACATAATTGTGAATCTATAGTGAAAGTAATAGTAACATGTCGTTAAAAACATCGCGCTGAAAGCTGACAACTGTAGTTTTGAAGGACTCATAAAGAAGAATATTTCGTATCTCGTAACATTTAACGGGAAAAATTTGTTCATGTTTCCATGTCCTGTTCGCAAAATAGCCTCATAAAGGTCATCTCATTTCGTCGAAAGCTTGCATTTTAAAAAAATAACGTCAACCACAAGTTAACAAGTTTATGATCGTGACTGGCGTGAAAAATGCAGATGCGCTTTCCCAAAATGTTTCTACTGAATCGCAGATAAAACGATTCCTCCAAAATAAAGTGACACGCAAGTTACAGAATAATGTTCTTCGAAAAATGCACTTGCATTCTATACATTCGAGATGACTATCTTCCTGCCAGGAAACTCTTTCTTCTCGTTTGTTTGTTCTCTTTTTAAGTTAAAGAGTTATAAGTGGCCATTACACAATCTCCTGTGTAATATATAATTACTTTCCTAAAATTTCGTTATAGGTTTTACAATATTACATTTATTATCTATTGTATCATCTTCAAAGATTATAAGATTGCAGGCACAAAGAAAACATACAGAGAAAAAGTAAAGAGTATAAAGTAAATAAAAAATCTATATAATAGTTCTCGTTACGTTTTATCGTGCCATTCTTCCGTCAAGCGATTTCCTGCACGTCATTAAACGCGCGAAGTAAGCTATCCGGATATAAAAATACCATCTCCTCTTCTTCTCTGCCAGAGCTTGATGCACGTGCTGAAGTACCGTGGCAAAGTCACGGAACCGGAAGCACGTTACTACATGAAGCAAATGGTGACCGGCGTCGCGTACATCCACTCGCAGAAAGTCGTGCACCGGGATCTGAAGCCCGGCAACATGTTCCTATCGGACCGGATGATCGTCAAGATCGGCGACTTCGGACTAGCGACCAGGCCTGATGGTCAGCGTAGACGAGTGTAAGGCTCAATTTAATTTGCAAACTTAAATTGCAAGAAATACATGTTCTTCCTTTGCATGCAGAATTTTACTTGTTATTAATTATGATATTTTTCACAATAAATTATTCGCAATTTAAGATTCTTTAACATCAAATTATATTATATTATATCAAATTATATTCTTATAACTATAACATGCTTGTTAACATTAATATTATTAAATTTAATATATGATGTTACTACTCTAATTCTATTCATGATTGAAGACGGAAAAAGATTTCGCGCGATTTGCAGAATTGAATATGTATGTATATAAATTCACCGAAATATTTGCAGCATTAAGATTTGTTTCGAGCGAAAACAGTTTTCTTATCGGTATTCTTATCGATCCATTTTTGCATCATAATTGTTTATTACTTAATTTATTTTGTTATTTAACTTGTAAATATATTACAAAGTTTATAAAAATTGAAAGCAAAAAGCACTGATATTGATCTAACTGAGAATAATTGGACGTCTCACAAACCCTTTGTTATAATTATTTTTGTATCGGTGTCTTAACGACTCTCCTCGACAAAAACGTAACAAATACCGGAGATCCCTTTTCCGGAGCCTTAAGACGATTGTTACGTCTGGACGTGCTTGTCTAAACACAAGCAACTAGCGGCATCAACAAAACGTCATAGCATGTAGCTAATTTGTATCCACAGGACGATATGCGGCACGCCAAACTACATCGCTCCGGAAGTGTTGTACAAGCAAGCGTACAGTTACGAAGCGGATGTTTGGGCGCTGGGCTGCATATTGTATGCCCTGTTGGTAGGGCAACCACCCTTCGATACAGCCACACTTAAGGAGACTTACGCCAGGATCTGCAACAATCATTACCGTGAGGTCGACGACAGTATCGCGAGCAGAAGTGGCCAAGACTTGATCAGGTGGTTGCTGCAATCTAATCCCGAATTACGACCGAGTCTAGAGAGGGTGAAGGAACACATCTATTTAACCAAGGAATACGTGCCAGCATCTTTACCTCACACTTGCTGCTACCAAATGCCACCGGCATCAATCATCGAGCCACCCTCGTCACCATCCTCGGTATCTACGGTCGCTAGAAATCCGGAAATTAAGGCACAGGTGAGTAACTTGATAATTCAATGTGAAAGATTTTTGATGGATTTTTATGAAACCCGTCAAATTATTAAGATCTTTTGATCATGCCTATGAGCATCGATATTATTAAATAGCTTATCAATTTAATTTTTGTGATATTATTACTCTAATAATTCTGTTAGGATTGCGTTTCAAGACTGAAAATTAAATTCGGCACGCAGTTTGCAGGATTGAACATGTAGTATATAAATTCACACCGAATTATTTAAGCACAATAGAGCCAGCTTGACCTTTTAGAACGTTTGTTTTTTATTTGATGTGTATTCATATTACGGTCTAAAAAAAAGATTAAAAAAATACTTTATTTAAAAAAGATACTTTTGTTTAACATTATTTAAAATCCATAAAAAATTCATAAAATTTCAGATATGGCAGCAGAGCCTCGTTTATCCTGACGCGTCATTGCGTTATCAACAGACGATTCCAACTCAGCAGGCGCAACAGCAGTCGCAGCACCAGCAACATCTATTAAACCGCTCGCAGAAGAGTCTGCAAAAGGAGTCCAAGGTCTCTAACTGGCTCGTCAGGAAGTTACCCAAATTGCCACGATTCCGGCAACGGCTCAGCAGCGTGCTATGTCCAGATCACAAGAAAACCGGCCTTGTGGCGCAAAGCGTACAGATGCATCGCGCCCTAGAAGCGTGCGTGCCGGAGATGAAGCGAAATAACGCGTGCAATCCACCAACTGTAGAGGACATCGTGCCACTCTTCGTCACCAAATGGATCGATTATTCGAACAAGTATGGGCTGGGTTTCCAACTCTCCGACAGGTCGGTTGGTGTTCTCTTCAACGACAACACGAAGATCAGTTACACTCATGATAGAAGGTGAATATCGAGAGAAATTAATGAGAAATAATGCGTTATTTTTTATAATGTAATTTAAAATAATTTTTATAATATTGTAATTTCTTACTAATTAATTAATTTGATTAAATTTGTAATGCAGAAGAGTGGAATATATGACCACCGACGACGAGATGACGCGATATCATCGAGAGAGAGATGTGTCGGCACCACTGCAAAAGAAGCTCGAATTACTCCGTCATTTTACCGAATATATGGATGACTTTTTGACAGAAGGTGAGTGTGATCACATATCTTATTTTTATACGATATATGTTATAATTTATTATGCAAGCAGATCCATTTCTTTCCATTTCTTTAAACGGAAAAAACGCAACGTGAAAGCAACGTCTTCACGAAACTTGTATATACTTTTATCTTCCAAGTGCGAAACATAACATGAGAATGTGACCTATTTACCTATTATTGAAATATTCCAAATATTTTTTGCTTACTGCACTATTATGGCAACCTTTATTAAAATTAATAAACGCGAAAACGTTATAATGTAACTCCGCGTTAATGTGTGCCATCTAGGTGGTGAGCTAAAAAAATACCGCGCGCCGCCGAGGCAGTCGAAAAACGCTTGCGTGCCGCGAATGAGACGGTGGCTACGCACGGACAAGGCCATCGTGATGGAGCTAACGGTACCACTCCTGCAAGTGAACTTCTTCGTGGACCACACGAAGATGGTGGTGTCGCAGGAATCCGCGGGAGGAAGGGGCTATCTGATCACTTACATCGACACCGGCCGACACGCATCCTCCTATTGGCTGAACGACCTCCGTGACCTCGGCTGCACTCCGGACCTCTACGAACGTCTATATTACGTCTGCAAGGTGACGCGCGAGTTCGCCGAGTTGGACAATAACACGACCGCCTGATGCTCGCCGGCGGATTCTCAAGGGACACGCGCTGTGGTTTCCTCAAGAACCGCTCAGGCAACCGAATTGGCAGCGAGATCTCTCAGATACCTGTTTTAGACAGGGTTCTTATCCAAGCAACTTTCTTTTCCATAAAATGACATTTAAACGCCAGTGATAAAGTTCTTCAACTACAAAAAGATACTTATTAATTACTATGGTCAAATTTTTATGAATTTTAATTACCACGGTGAGAGATACAAAAAATCTCCGTTTTTGTATCCCTTTTTCTTTCTCAGGATAAGGGTTAAGGAAATAACGGCCAAGCAAGTACGTCAAGATACCGTTACGCGCAGCATTTCTCGGGGGTGGGAGGAGGCTGTAAATAAGAATGTCACGCGTATAAGTCCGCGAGAAGAAGGTGTGTCTTGTAAAAGACTCAGACGTGCGATGCGAGTGCTTCCGTTGATTTATAAATCTGCACGTTGTTTTCACGAAACCAGAAGTAATCGCCTCTAAGCACGTGGCTCATCTCGGCAGGTCTTCTTTGAAGAAATGTTAATTTTCCCACGTGATAAGACTAGTTAGATCAGTAAGTAATCGGTCAGACTGCCATCGTCGCAATAACGATGTTTTGTGAGTCCAAGTAGGTATAGCTGTATCGTTCCTCTT